TATACATATTTATATATATATATATATATATATATATATATTATGTTTCTGTCTCTGTGTGTGTATTTATTGATTGATATGTACCTTTTCACTTATAGCGGTGAAGGGCACCACCCCGCCGAAGGAGATGTCATCTTTTTTCTGTACGAAGCCAGTTGGTATATAATCTTTGGGGGCCTGCAACAAAAAATATTTAAAAAAAAATATATAAATGTATATATATATATATATATATATATTTATTTATTTATTTATTTATGTATTTATTTATTTATATCGTTTGTTTTTTTTTTTAGTATTCTTACGGTTCTCTCATTGAAGAGTAGCTGCAGAGGAGAAACAAAAGAGAAGAGTGAAAAAATAAATAAATAAATAAATAAATAAATAAATAAATAAATAAATAAATAAATAAATAAATAAATATTTTTTTTTAATAACATACCCTCAAAGAAACATAAGCGTTGTCAGGGAGGGGGTCTAGCTGCTGAGTGATAGCGCATAAGGATTGAAGCAGCTAAGCGATAAAAAAGAAAAAAAAAATAAAAAAAATGCAGCAACGAATATAATAAAATAAAATATATTACCGCTTCTGTCTGTCGTTTTGCTTCTGCCTTTGAAACTGCAGCAGCAGCAGCAGCAGCAGCAGCAGCAGCACGAGGAGGCTCTCCTGCTGCTTTTTCTCTCCCATTAAAAAAAACAGAAACTGCTGGTTCTCTCGCCCCATAACCAAAAGTAAATTCATAAGATTCCAGCAATGCGTCTGTTTCTTCTTCATGAATACCGAGCAATAGCTGCTGCAAACACTCCTGAAAAAGTTTATATATGAGTTTTTTGTATTTATATTTTTATTTATTTTTTATTTTTATTTTTTTTTACTGGGAAATTGTTTCATAGATTCATGTTCTATAGATATTCATATTCTATTTATGAATTGATTCATATATATTCATGTTTTTTTGGTGAGTGGTTTCGCCGATTCAGAATTTAATTTTTGTTGGTTTTAATGGTGTATATTTATATTAAATTCTTATGTATTGATAAACATATTCATGTATATATATTTAAAGTTAAAAAAACACAAAATATTTATATTTTTTTCTGAGGTTTCCTCTGTTTTCACTTACTTTCTGCAGCGCATCGTTGACACCTGTACGGAGAAGACGAACAAGAAAAGCAGATTTATTATCAGCTGGCCGCAATTGAACTAATTTAAGTCCTTCAAACCAAACAGAAGCAAAAGCTGCTTCATCGAAGATATTACGAAGATACAAAACAGAAGAAACTCCCAAAGAAACTGTATTTTTCAGAATCTGCAATGATTGCTGCCGCGTTGTCACTTCTACGCGAGTTCTCGTGGCGACTTGAAGCATTTTAAATAATATAAATAAATATAAAAAAATATTAATATATAAATTTACAACTTTTTTCGCAGCTTTCTCACACATATATTCACACTGCCGCAGTTCA